CCCCCCCCAACCACTTGCAGTCGACTCACTGAACGCCGCCGCGACCACCCAGCGATCCGCTGCCACCGCCGCCGCGTTGTGATCTGCCCACCGCGTGACGACGACCCTTGAATCACGTGTGTGTGTTTGTTTTTGTTTTCGGTCCACAACAGCAGCAGCAGCAGCAGCCGCCGTCTTCGTCGCCCGCCGCCGCCGCCGCCACCCCGTGCCACCGTCGTCGCCGCGCCGACGAGGAAGGGGAAGACCGGCACCGTCACCGGACCAGTGCCGTCGTCGTCCCGCCGCCGCCGAACGGAGGCGGTCGCAGTAGTGCCGCATACCCGGAACAGTCCGCCCGTAGTCGGACGCACCGCAAGGACGATACGCACGCGTTATACGCCGCCGCCGCCGCAAAGGCCGAAGACGAAGTCCGACGTTTGACTCGCGGTCGCTTGCCTTTGCCGACGACGACGACGACGACGACAGACGTCGAAGCCGCGGCTCTGGACTTCCGCAGACGAAGGTACGGAATGTACGCCACGGCAGCTGTTACCGCGGATGACCGTTACGGACACCGGTACGGCCTGTCCTCCGGCTTGACGACGTCGCAGGACCCGAAGACTTCGTCGGCCGCCGCAGCGTTTTTCTTGAGGTCAGTGGCTATATTATGTTATATTATAATACAGTACCAGTACTGTTCTTAGATCTAGGGCACGGCAAGGTTATGTGGTCTCAGGACACGGCCGTTACACCCGTTTGCGATGTCGTCTCCAAGTCTTATAAACGCGTAACGGCGTAACGTATTTTTTAGTCGTAAATTTGAGTTCAACAGAACGAATTTTGTGTTGTTGGCATTGTGCAGTTAGAATAAATTTAGGATCCATTAAAATACCTATCTTGCTTAAAAATTAAAATATCAAAAAAAGCCGCTTCTTAAGCATTTCTTATAATATGTTCTTACCTTTAAATTCTAAAATAATAGGTCAATCTGCTATTTAAGCGGGTCATGCAATATTTTCATAACAATTTTTATGTTTTACCAAGGGTTTTAAATTCGAAAGATTGAGAAAATACTTACATGGGTAGTGTAGTCCTCTTATATTATAATTAATATATCATAATATATTATTTTATACACAATACAACAAAATATTTTGATATACAGATCGATTGCGTCACATAAATCACCATTTGACGAGTTAAAGATAATTTATGTGAGGCACTGGGGTAGTTATAACTTATAATAGGTACGTGTGTTATGCTTGATGACAATTATTAAAAAATATTTTTATAATATTTATTAAGTAAATTTGCCGCCAAAAATGTAGAAACGAAAATGTTGTGCTGAAACGTATACGATATAAATATAATCGTACATAAAATATATGTCAGTTTTTTTCTGCTCCCCCACTTCACCTCTGCAAGGCGTAAAAGTACTAAAAGGAATTTTTTGGATTTCTATGATTCCGATTGATATAACGAACGTCGATCTCGAGATTCCACGTAGTATTACAAGTTGTATGACGGTGAACGATTCAACAATTGGAAATGAGTTATAGATACTAGGCAGTTAATATTATATTATGAAAATTGAAAAACGTACCGTGTGTCACCAAACTATACTGTCGTACGTGTTATTATTCTTGATCACATAAAGTTCATTGAAATGGATGTAATACCTAATACTTTAATAATAATTACAAATTAGTACTGATAGAGTCGTAACATGTTTTCCTATATACTTGAATTATAAAATATACGTTATCAAATGGCATTTTGTCAAATATGTGTGTAGGTAAAATCATTGTAAAATGTACATATTCGTTGAGATGTTGTGTTATAACAGTCGAGTTGGTAAATACAAATCTATAAAGTTCACACATATAATTATACTATAATTTGATAGTAATAATTGTATAATAATACGAGTTCACAGTTGTTATTTTTGCATATAGTAAACATTTTATACGTCAAACCGATTGAATATATATTTGATGTCTGTATTGAACAAAAATTATCAGAAGTGTGCTTTAATAATCGTATTTACCTATTATACCAATAAACCCTTTAAACACACACAAAAAACAATATATATAAATATATTATAATATTACCTATACAATCCAATACACGAATGTACGTGGTTATTGTGGGTATCTCTAATAACAATCATTTTCGTATTGACAAACTTTTGGTCCCTCGCCCCCGGGTGGTCTACGAGGTTCCAATTCCTAAATGAGAAACCATAATATTTATTATTATCTTTGGATTGTTTTCATTATGTTATACTTATAACTTCGAAATACTATAATAAATTATAAATGACCTAGAAAATGTTTATTGATAGTGTGTTTTTTTTCTAATGTATTCATTAATTATGAATCTAAGACATCATCAAAGGAGGAGCTTTCCATTTTAATAAATTATTGAGATAATGTGTTTTCTAAAAGGTTTGGAAGTTATAGTATAGGTATTAGGTACCATAAACCCTACGGCCTATATATATATATATAATATTTATAATAAAAAAACGATCCATTTAAGATACGAAAATAATCATCTCCATAATTATTCATTTTTTTTGAAAACGTCTCTTCAGTAAAATATACTTGATATTACCTATTTGTTTAAGATGCTATAATGCACATTTCTAATTTTATTGTGTACTTATTGTATTTAACAATTTTGGAATAATAATCTCGTGTGTCTCAGTTTCCAATTATTATGAGTCTTATTATTATGTAGATGTGAAACCTTTTTTTTTAACATTGGATCTTATCTGACCTCGACCCTTAATTTAGCACTCAAATGAACTTAAAAAAGTTATACTTATTACCTACTTATTAGTTAAAACAAAATTATATTGATGTTTACTTTTAAACAGAAAATATAACGAAAATAAAATAAATGAATATAAGCATAATATTGTACATAATAGTTATAATATATGTTGTCTTATATTGTATATTAACTAAATAATATTATATTGCACTAAAATGTTCTTTTATTTTAGTTTTAATTTTGATGTGCAATCAAAGAAAAAAGACCTTAAGCTAGATATTGCGTAAATATGCTCTAATATGCAAAATCCTCAAAATATCTATAAATATTAAATACATTTTGAATTTAAATTCCTTTTATCTGAAATCAGATTTTTAATTTACCCTGCTATTTATTTCACTATATTCTCTAAGCCTATAATATATTATAATAAATTATACTCACAAGATACTCGTTAAACAGAGTAATTACATTTTTTACTATTACCTAAACATTTTGATTTATTTTCTCGCCTATATAACGTCAAGACTTGTGATAGATTTATTCAGTAGTATAATTAAGTGGTTAACATTGAAACTTATTGTATCATAATTATTATGATAATTTAAAATCATTGTTTGGTTAAAAATATTTAAGAACTCTGCAGCTGTGTCGGATGAACGTAAACGTTTTGTTTTTTTTTCTATCTACGGAATGTTCATATGTATTATCAGCTTAAATAATAACGCAATAGTTTCCGTTTATATTTTGTAGAAAGAAATCAAATTGTATAGTTATAAGAGCAGCGCATTCATGAAATTAAATAATATGTATTGTTTAATTCAATAAATATTGTGAGAATAACAATGTCTTACAATATTATTATTATCTATTACTGTTTTTTTTTCATCGATATAAATAGTTGAAAGCCATTCATAAGCGATAGAACTAAAATTAGTAGTGTTGGATGATGCATTTTTTATATGCAATTGATCCTGTCGAAAATGTTGGACATCCGGTAATACCAAAAACAACATGTTTCGAATGTAGTGAAGCAAAAAAAAAAACAATTGACGTGTTGCACTATTCATGCGATCATCTCCGTCCATGCCATTAGTTCCATATACATTTTTAATGGCGCAAAAGGGACATGGTTCCCATAGGACGGGGTTTTGATGGTTCGTTGATCGTCTGGTCGTTGTTTTTTGTTATTGTTCTTTTTGTATCCGTAATATCCGTATCCGGCTTGTGAAAACTATTACAGAAAGTAGATAATAATATAATGAAAATCGCAACGATTAACTCTACATTACAATATAGAATATTAAATGTCTATATAGGTATTGCGGTTTTATTTAATATTTGGAGTGCAATAAATTGACAATTTCTGTACTGCAGTATAATTGCAACTGTAGTTATAATTTAATTAAGTACCTATTATTATATTACCCAACGAACGAAGAATTTAAAGCAAAATGTAATAAATTAATAATTTTTATAATTGTATATTATTTGACTTTCCATGAAGTCATTTTATTACTTATTAAAATATGATAAAATTGTATTTTAATATTTATTATTTTGTAACTTTCAATTTTCTGAACTTATCGTGAAATATTTCGGTGGTAGATAGCGTACTCCGTACCATTTTTTCAATGAGTTGTAACACTTAAATTGATAAAAATATAAACATATAGTCTAAACTCAGTGTATACTCGAATATGGGAATTATTAATTTTTGTTTTTTTCGACACTTTCCCGATATCCATGAGATTGTGGAACACATGACCATTTCTTTGAGGTTTTCTTTATGGGGTCCTACCGAAAAACTTGATTATCATTATTTCATTTTGGGTATATAATATATATGTTTAATATATATATTCTTCAAGGGGAGAAGGACTTGTTATGAAGTGTGGTGTCGGTCTGGTGCACTCTAAATAATTCATAAGGCCCATAAATCAGACCGCATTAATTAAACTACGTATATATAATATAATAATACGTGTGGTGGCGAAAGATGGAACACCGATGCAACCGGGGATCGTCATCATCAAATCGGTAGAATTAATAAGTACTTATTTTATTAATATTTATTAAAAGAGGGTCCATGCAGCAATTGCGTGTGTTTTCTCTCTTTAATGTCTTTCTTAAACTATTAATTTATTTATTTTTACAACAGTAGGTATAAAACATATACCACTCATAATATTCTTGAAATATTAACACATTAATATCCTGGCTAACATATTATATGATATACATCTAATGTAATAATATATAATAATATAATTAATATTTTTAACGAAACAGAATACCAATCGACGCCATATGAAAGTTTTTTTAGTAAAATCTAAATAGGTGTACTTAAAAATTAAAATAGGTTTATCCGTATAGATATTTACAGTATTTTTTTGTTCAAATAATGGAAACAAAATTAAACGAAACTCTTTCGTTCAATTGTCTTATTCAAAAATATTTATTTTACATTAATAGGTAATACATAACAGTGTATACTTTACTGCAGTTATATATTAAAAATCTTGAATAGTCCCATTGCAAAAAAATTATTTAAATGTTATTTTTAATTTAGTCTTGGTCTTTGAAATAATTGTTCAACATTTTATTGTGCTTAGTAAAAAAAAAACATTGTATTGAAATACTTATTCATTTTTCTTATTGTAAGAATAATATGTCATACATAATTAAATGTAAATAATAAAATATTTATTATAAACTATTAAAACAAATGTTAAGGGTACAATATAAACAAATAATGACAGAATAATATTAGAATAAACTTAATTTTATAGTATTATAATTTAATATTTTAATGTAACACTAAACTAATTAAAAAAGTCGTAATTATTACACTTTTAATCAATATTAATT